CTTCCTTATGTCCAATCTGAATCTCCCCTCTGTCAGTTTAAAGCCATTGCCCCTTGTCCTGTCACTACACGCCCTTGTCCAAAGCCCCTCTCCAGCTTTCCTGCAGCACCTTTAGGCACTGGAAGGCTGCAATAAGATCACCCTGGAGCCTTCTCTTCTCCAGGCTGAACAGCCCCAACTCTCTCAGCCTGTCTCCAGAGCAGAGGTGCTCCAGCCCTCACATCGTCTTTGTGGCCTCCTCTGGACCTGCTCCAGCAGCTCCATGTCCTTCTTGTGCTGGCTTTTGAACTTTCCTCATGGCTCAGTCAGTAGCCCTGGAACAAAGATACATTTATGGTACAGTTTGGTAATCCCCAATTTCATCTGTGAAAAAACTGTTCTATGTGTGTGCCTAGTGGCCATGTCATGTTCCCCTTCCCTGGGATTCTTGTTTTTTTGTTGTATGAGCACAAAAAGCAGAAATCAATCACACTCTGCGCCGGCTGGCTGTGCAGAAGCTGGACAATGCATTTGTTGGTGTTTAAATTGATACTATAGCCTAGGCAGGATCCAGCCTCTTCCTCTGTATGATCTTTCGTGTTCCGGAGTGGCAGCAGAGAAGCATGCCTCATCAGGAGACATGAAATGGGGAATTTTAAATTGATCACAACTCCACTTGATTTGATTACAAATCGTCAGTGAAAGCCGAGGTGTAAAAATCGTTATTCAACCTCCTTGTGCAAACTTTCCTAATGCAAAATGTGTTTAAATAACAGTTAGAAGATTTACATTTAACGTGAAAAATGTGTAGTCAGGTGATACTGTCTGGATACAATTGAAATTAAATATGTAAATATATTTAATTTATCTTTATTTTGAATCATAGGTGAATCTGGATTGGGAAAATCTACGTTAATAAACAGCCTCTTCTTGACAGATCTCTACCCAGAAAGGATAATCCCAGGAGCTGCTGGTAAACACACTTTTGTCCTAGTTTTTCTGCTCTCGATTACTTCTGGAGTTGAATTGTCTTTGGGTTTCAGTAATGTAGCCAGTAGTGAATTCTAGCTGTAATAATTTGTAATTTATTTCCTTGAACTTGAACTGTTTGGTAGAATTGGTTCCCTCTGTACCCGGGACGTGTATGGGATCTTTGTTGTTTAGTCCTCGGGTGGATTCACATTGGGACCTACGAGGTTGATCCTTTCTTTTGCTTAAAAAAGTGTCACAGTAAGATAAACAATCGACTAAAACAATCAGAAACTTCAATTTTTAATCTATTGGAATTTCAATCATAAGCATCATTTGTGCCTGCTTGGACTCACAGCTTGATCCCTTTGCTTTGGGTTGATATTTAGCGAGTGGGACTTCACCTCCTTTTCTTCGTCAGTCCCGTGTCCCTTTTTTGTTCCGTTAACCAAGGCATAGAGTAATCCAACAAAAGGGAATGTTGTAAGAAAATAGAGGAAGATGCTATTTTTTCCTCTCTTTGCTACTTGATAAATGATTCAAGCAAGTCATTCAACATGTTAGCTGACGATTACTTATCACTTTCAACCTTAGGGAAAAAAATCCATTACGTACAATTTATTATCCTTCTCCAAATTGCTGATTACACACATTTTTTTCTCAGTCCCTGTGCCTTAGTTTCTGCATTATGTTTAAGAACAGTATGAAATCTCAGATAATCTTCTAAGAAACTCTGAAGATTCTGAGTACTGAGTCTTGCTGTCATTATCAGACCTTAAACGTTATTCCATGGATTACCTTCTATATGGTTGCATCTGCCAATTAATCTTGTGAGTTTATCTCAAAACGACAGTGTTACAAACCCTACTCTGAAAGATGAAGCTTGTTCTCTTGTAGAGAAGATTGAACGCACTGTGCAGATCGAAGCCTCGACAGTTGAGATCGAAGAGAGGGGTGTGAAGCTACGTCTGACAGTCGTCGATACCCCAGGCTATGGGGATGCCATCAACTGTCGAGACTGGTATGTACATGGAGTATGTATGGATCTGTGCATGAAAACTGGTGTCTGTTTCGTATTTGTCCTGGGAATGGGAGGAATAAGTAACTGAAGTGGAGCAGCCCCAGTTGTTTTAAACACTTCCATCCCAAAGGTGATTCAAAGTAATTAGACTGGGAAGTCATCATCTTAGCTTTTTTTCTCATGTTACGCAAAGTGCTGAATTCAAGATGTGAGTTTTGGACAGGTGGGCGTGTTTTCTGATTTTGAGGAAGCTTAACTTATGTGTTATGAGTTAATTCAGAGGCGTCAATAACTTTCACACAACTTGGATGAAATTCAAGATATATGGCACAGATATTTTGAGGTTTTTTCCTTAGTTAACTTTCTTAAGTTTGCAGGAGTTTTAAGTGAACAGTGACCTTGACTTTTCTTTATAGTCAGAAAGCAATGGAACCACTGGGACACAAATTCAACAATACTCTGAGAAAAGAATTCGTTTAGTCTTTAGAGAAAGTAAAAATCCACCTTTAGATCTTGTCCCCATTCATTTGAGCATTCTCAGATTCTGTGCTTTGGTTTTAAGTGTGTTTTCATCATCTTTGTGTTTGATTGTTTGGGGTTTTTTTTGAGAAATGTACGTTATAGTAAGTACTGAGAAATAATCTTGAGATTAATGGCAATCAGTTTTCAATGGTAATCCCTCTTCCTGCATCTCTCAAGCCCCTGAACCTCAAGGCCGGGACTGGGGAAATGAAGTCCCGCCCATTGTAAGTGAACATCAGGCTTGAGACCACCTGAGGAAGTTGAATGTACATAAGTCCATGGGACCCGACAAGACGCAGCCCATCTCATCGTGTTGTCTTTGGCAGATGTAGTTCCCAAGGCACTTTCCGTCATATTTCAAAAGTCATGGCAGTCAGGCAAAGTCTCCAGTGACTGGAAAAAGGGACACATCATGCTCGTTTTTAAAAAGGAGGACCCTGGGAACTACCGACCAGTCATCCTCACCTCTGTGTCCAGTAAGATTATGGCACAGATCCTCCTGGAAGATACATTGAAACATACAGAAGACAGGGAGATGATTATAGGTAGACCTGATAAGGCTTCACCAAGGGCAAATTGTGCCTGGCTAGTCTAGTGACCTCCTACGATGGAGTGGATAAAAGAGGAGCTATTGATATCATCTACCTGGACTTCTATGAGGCCTTTCATATGGTCCTCCATATGAATCTTCTTGCCTCTAAATTGAAGGGAGATGGGTTTGATAAACAGGAATTGGCTGGATGGCCGCATCCGAAGAGTTACAGTCAATGGCTCAAAGTCTAAGTGGAAACCAGTAATGAATAGTGTCCCTCAAGGGTCCCTACTGGGACCAATACTATTTAATATCTTCATCCATGACATAGTGGAATTGAGTCCACCTTCAGCAAGCTTGCAGTTGGCACCGAGCTGAGCAGTGCAGTTGAGTCACTGCAGGGAAGGGATGCCATCCAGGGGCACTCGAGCAGTGGGCCCATGCAAACCTCATGAAATTCAACAAAGCCAAGTGCAAGGTCCTGCACGTGGATTGGGGAGATCCTCAATACCAATACAGGCTGGGAGATGAATGGGTTGAGAGCAGCGCTGCAGAGCAGAATTTGGGGATACTGGTGGATGAAAAAGGGGACATGAGCTGGCAATGTGCACTTGCATCCGTGAAAGCCATTCATATCCTGGGCTGCATCAAAAGAAGTGTGGCCAGCAGGTCGAGGGAGGGGATTCTCCCCTTCAACACTGCTCTTGAGACCTCTTGCATCCAGCTCTGGGGTCCCAGCAACAGACAGACAGGGACCTATTAGAGTGAGTCCAGAGGAGGACCCAAGGGCTGGAATGCCTGGGAAGGAAGGCTGAGAGAGTCGGAGTTTTTCAGCCTAGAGAAGAGAAGGCGCAAGGGAGACCTTGCTAAGGCCCTTCAATGTATAGAAGGGGCTTATAGGAAAGCTGGAGAGAGACTCATTGCCAGGGCCTGCAGTGCCAGGACACGGGGCAACGACTTTAAACTGGCAGAGGGGAGATTTTAACTGGGTGAAAGGAAGAATTTTTTTACGACGATGCTGAGGCACTGGCACAGGTTGCCCAGAGAAGTTGTGGCTGCCCCGTCCCTGGGAGCGTTCAAGGTCAGGTTAGGCAGGGTTTTGAGCAACCTGACCTAGTGGAAGGTGTCCCTGCCCAAGGCAGGGGGGTTGGACTCGATGATCTTTGAAGATCCCTTCCAACCCAACCATTCTATGATTTTAAATCAATTTGGAACAAGAAACTTAGACTATCTCGAGCGTGTGTCATTAATACTAGTTAACAGAGAAATACTAACCCAAGAGAAATTTGCTGTAGGAGTTAAGATGTGTGTTATATGTGTGTATATTTTACCTTAATACAAACAAAATGATGCATCATAGTTTGTTATTTTGGAGTTCAAGTCACATTTTGAGATAGGTGCTCTCCTACTCCTGCAGTCGTACGGCACCAGTAAATTAATTTTTGTCTGTCAGCAGGCTGGTTCATCAGCAGGGTGTCGTGGTGTTTTAATATTACCTTTGGAACATCACTGAAATGATTGACCATTTGGGAACAAGCGTGATTTCTCGGCTCCGTGTTTGTTTTACAGTTTTAAGACCATCATCTCTTACATCGACGAGCAGTTTGAGCGATACCTGCATGATGAGAGTGGCTTGAACAGAAGGCATATCATAGACAACCGGGTTCATTGCTGCTTCTATTTCATCTCACCGTTTGGTCATGGGTAGGTGCTTCTCTGTCGTTTGATTTGTTTTTTTTAAATGATTTTACTTTGGGGAGTTGGTTTCACTTACATTTTCAGAGTCAGGTTGCCGTTACTTAGAGAAGTACTAGAACTGCTGGAATTAATTGGGTGCGTCCTTTCTGTCTACATTGGTGTGAAAATGAATTGGTAATTTAGATCAAAAATAAATTTAACTGTTTCCATATTTTAATTTTAGCCTCAAACCTCTGGATGTTGAGTTTATGAAGGCCATACACAACAAGGTGAATATTGTACCAGTGATTGCAAAAGCTGATACGCTTTCTCTGAAAGAGCGAGAAAGACTGAAGAAAAGGGTAAGTATTTCTCTAACTTGCAGAAAAATGTTGTGCATTTAGTGTCTAGTTTGATCTCTTGTCAATTATTTTATTATGTAAGTTGTCCTTAAAATGGTGCCTGCGAAATGGCAGATTGGCTACATTTACAATGCCATTATGAGTGAATTTTGAAACTTTGGGAAAATATTTAAATGCATGTGCTGATGGTAATGGCTCCCTTGCCTGTTTCATCAGTCCCAGTCGGTATCTGCGTCTATAAAGTGCATATTTTATTTTTTTTTACCCAGTCAGAATTCTGATGATTGAAAAAGAGGATTTTTCAGAGATTTTTCTGATTTTTGGTGTTGTTTTTCTTCCCTTATGTCACTCTCTTCTAAAACATTTCAGTTCGTTCTCCCATAGGCAAGACACCTTAACACATTCAGTCTTCCAGGACTCGATGCTGTATTTGCTGAGGGGGAAAAAAAAAACAACAAACCATCATGAGTTAATAACAATGATGAAATTTAGAAAGAAGTGTTAGAATTAACTTGCCAGAAGGCACACTTAATCCAGTCTTAGCTGTTATATTTAGAACTTTATGATTTTTTTTCAGTTTTTCTGAAAATCCAACTTCCAATAAAAATAGGGAATTATACCTTACTTTGATATATGTATTGTGCTAGAATTCTACAGAAATAAAATTTTTGAAGATTTTTTTTGAAGACCAGAATTTGGGTTTATGGCAAATGGATTCCAGCTGCATATGCTGTTCTTAGCAGTCGTGAAGACAGAAAAAAGTATTTATCGTGTCTATAGCTCAGTTAGGTTCTTAAACATTCCCACCACTACCCTCTAAATAGTAATTCAAAGGCAAGAGCAAGGAGTTTGAGGCTGTTCAAAGCATTTATGACTTCTGAGTCAATGCTTTATAATAATAAAAAAAAAAAAAATTGCAAAGGCTTAAAAACCCCTCAGTTTCTTACATCTAATCCACAAAGGACAGTGTTGATTTGAATACTGTTGTTTGTCTGAAAGTATGTGGCAAGTAGTTGTTGAATATCATGAAGAAATATGATGTTTTAAACCAGTACTTGGGAAGAAATTTGGATCAGTAGGATAGGCCCAAGTTTCTCAAGAGGTTGTGTATAACTGGTGAAGTAATTTTACCTTAAGGTTTAAAAGTACTGCCTTTACCTGTACATGATCTCAATTTCTTATATTATAAATCTCAAGATTCTGGATGAAATAGAAGAGCACGGCATCAAGATTTACCATCTGCCTGATGCTGAATCAGATGAGGATGAGGATTTTAAAGAGCAGACCAGACTCCTGAAGGTACGACTGGCTTCACAGGTTACACGTGTGCATTGTGCCTCTTCAGGCTGTTCAGATGGCTTTGGAACAAGATAGATACTGTGACCTGCCATGGGACCTCACTTCATCCAGTCACTGTATCTCTGTGCCCACGCTTCTCTATCTGGAAGATGGTGGTAACAATGACTTTTTTTTTTACAGCTTCAAATTAAAAGCATTGCAAACTCATTACCATAATACGCAGTGCTGAGCAGAACAGGAGTTGTTCTTGGAGTTGTTTCTTCTGTTGGTTATTAGTAACTTTTGCATTTTTGGCTTTCAGGCCAGCATTCCATTTTGTGTAGTGGGATCCAATCAACTCATTGAAGCCAAAGGTAAAAAAGTTAGAGGTCGGCTCTACCCATGGGGTGTAGTTGAAGTGGAAAATCCAGAACATAATGACTTCCTGAAGCTGAGGACCATGTTAATGTAAGTTAGAAAATTCCAATTAGGTGGTAGTTTTAAAAACAGTCACCAGGAAGATACTCAACCACTGTAATGGGGGTTTGGAGCAGTTGTGGAATCCATGCAGACATTCAGAATTAGTCTGGAAAAGGCCAAGAGCAAGCTGGACCTAGCTGGCCTAGGCAGGAATTGGACCACATAGGCTCCATAGGTTCCTTTCAGTCTGAATTACTCAGTGATTCTGTGAAAATAATCTTTTGTTGAACATAGTGTTGTATTGCTGTTCAGATCCCCAAGAGGATAAAACAGGTTGCTTCACACTTTGGGCTTATTTAAATACGTCTCTATGTAGATACATATCTGCAAAGGAGCAGACTTCAAAAGTCCACTGGTTGATTTTTTTCAGGCTTCCCCTGCCCAGTACTGCTTCATCAAACGCCTCACCCAGGAGGTGACAGCTTATGTCAGGTCTGCCTCAGGGTCTGAGGTGGTCTCTCTATGCACCAGTTTAGCTTAAATTAGCTTTTAAATTAGCATGTTGAATGGCTGTACATGCTGAACGCATTGACCCAACACAGTGCTGAATGTGAGAGTTGGTTAAGCAAGCTGATGTGACACAGGCATGTTTTAATTATTTTTCTCCCTCCAGCACCCATATGCAAGACCTTCAGGAGGTGACTCAGGATCTTCACTATGAGAATTTCCGCTCTGAGAGGCTCAAACGAGGCGGCAGGTTGTCATCTTCTGGTTACATGCTGTTTCTTCCTCTTCTGAATTTGTTTTTTGGTCTCTGTCTCTCCTACCGTTTCATTGCTAGGATTTGGTAGATCCTGGACAGCTCTGTAGCTCCAGTCGACGCCAGGTTCAGTTGACCAGCTTACACTGGGTGTAAGATAAAAATATTATGTAAATCTGAAGAGACAGCTGTGACATTAAAAGGGTATAGTTAGATCTCTGCTTTGGTTTAAGGCTTGAACACAGTTGGGCTGAAATGTTTGGGGTAAGTAAGTAGGGCAGATGTCTATGATAAATGTTGCCTTCAAAAATCTGCAGATTAGATCAGTGCTGATATGTTAAAGTTGGTTTTTTTTTTCAGAATTAACTACTGGAATATTTGGACTGTGTATTTAGAAAGAGAAACTCAAGTCCTTCTGCAGTGCTTTATTAAACATGGAATAAATAAATAATATTCTTTGCACAGCAGTCACAGGATAATGTCTTGCAGCCCTATTTTGAGCTGTGGTGGGTAGGGCTCAGCTTTCCTAGTAAGAGGGACAGGCAGAACACCCCATTTTTAACTAAAATAGCAGGTTTGTGAAGTTGAGTTTGTGAGTTCTTGTTGCAAACGGGGTGTTTCCTAGTTTGGATTTTTCAGTTGCTTCTCTTATGTCAACCACTAGAGGGTTTCACAATTGCACATTTCAGTGGGTGTGATATATTTTGTGAAGCTTTTTCCATCATCCTCTTGACGTGGGATTTGCCACATGCCTAGGCATTTTCCAGGAAAAGGAGTTTGTCTCTGCCTGCAGCATTGGCCTGCAAGTCCAATTTTCCCATCGGGCAAGATGACCTGCTCTTCTCCCCTGACTTTTAAATCCTGTCTTATGAAGTTCAAGCTAATAAAAAATATTTTTACCAAGTTTTGGTGCCTGTTATCCAACAGGTATGTACGAAGGACTTAAAAGTAACATAACCTAAGGTCATCTAGAGTGAAAATTTTTACCAGTTTTTAGAGGATTTAAAGTTGCCTCTGCCAAGGACCTGTGACAGGAAGCTGCTGTTGAGTTGGAGTATCTTTGTGAAACTGAAACATGTTTTTGTATCTTGTCAAGTGGCCCATCTATTTTTGTCTTCACATATCTGAAGTGCTGCTAGAATGTAGTGGAGTTTACAGTAACTGAGGGTAGTTTGGGTGGGAATTTGTTTCAATCTTGCACCTACCCCACCAGCACTTGGCAGTTGGTGCTTGTTGACTGTATTCCCTAATGCTCTTGGAGGCTTTTGGGCACAGAGGATTTGTTGACAACCTATTTCTCTGCAAACCTTTTAACAAACACCAGTTTGTGTGCTTTGCACTTTTGATGGCACTTGTGTGATTAGGTGTGTTAGCAGATCTTCCCCATTGCAATGTGGGATAGGAGGAATTTATTAGCAGATAGATATATTATAGTACATAAAAATATTCTTATGTTTGGTTTCTCAGGGTGTGGCAAAACTGGGATGTCCCAGTTAAGCCAGGGTTTGCTGAGATACTGATTGAAAGCATTTGCTTAATTTTGACAGGAGTAATCAATGTTTGTGCTGTACTTTAACATGTCATGCAAAAGAAATCTTTGGAATTGCAAAAAAAAAAAAAAAAAAGGTGACTGTGCTAGAAAAATAATCAAAGTCTTAAGTGTCTTAAGTGGAGCAGAGGATAAGGGGTTCCTCCAATGAGAATTATTCCAGATGTGTACAGTGGTTCTGTTACTTCTATGGTTTTGGTTATGAGCCTTGGAGATGTTTGGTAGCAAACATAGCTCTGGAAGTTAGAGATGGGATAGAACTGCGTCAAAGAAAGGTTTTGCCTGGAGGTAGCCAGGTTCCCAGATACAGGATTCCTTAGAGCAGTGGGTATTTTACATGTCGCTTCCATATTTTTAACGTCTTGTCCAGCATTACCCTGAACTTGTGTTTTGGTTTAGTTGTGTTGATTTATTACACCAATGAAAGGGAGGAATTGAGGATGTGTTTGCAGTGTTTCTGAATTTGCTGGATCTGTTTGGTACTCAATCAGTTGAGATAACGTTACGCTCACTAACGTTAACTTTATGAAGTGCTAAGGAATAAATCGATGTCTTAAAAATAATTTAAAAATAAAACCATAAATTGCAGCTATGTTGAGAACAGGTTTCAATGAAATTTGTTTGTATTATGAAACTCTGACATATGAGATGTGTTCTAAGAGCCTGGATTTTTGTCAACAAAGCATTTTCTGGAATCAAAACCCAGAATGTGTGCATGTTATTGAACAATACTCATCTCATTTTAGGAAAATAGAAGATGAAGAAGTAAATAAAGACCAGATTCTGCTTGAAAAAGAAGCTGAAGTAAGATGACAGAACTCTCTACTCTTGTGACGGGGGAATTTTTATTCTTGTATCACTACTTTAGGTCAAACTGTTTATATGATCTTGGTAATTTGTAAAGGAAAAGACAGAATTTGCTGATACAAAGTTATTCAAGGTGCAGTAACAAAACAGGATGCGAAGAGGTGTAGAGGAGTCTCAGGATACTGATTTATTGCAATGGGTGGAATCTGTTAAAATCCCTGACTCCATCCTGGTAGTCAGTGATGGACGTGGTGCACACTGTGTGAGGAGGGAGAGCCATCCTCACGTGAGTACGGGTTCTAAAGTGAGCGACTGCAGACCGGGAAGAAGTCGGCTCAGCTCTGCAGCAGAGGACAGAACAGAGGTAGGAATTGTCAGAAGTAAAGAATGAAACAAACTCGCCTTCTGCGACCGTTGGAGCATGGCTCTAGCACTGTTTGCATTGTTCTCCTCACCCAAAAAGGGTACAGCCAAGACTAGAAAACATACAGTGACAGCAAAAAGTGGGCAGAAGGGCTGCCGTGGAGCTGTGAGGCAGGTGCTGTAGAAGGGGCGGTTGGGTTGATGTCCTCGTTGGGAAGCAGATGACAGAGGGGAAGGGTGTAGTAAGGGGCTTACTTAGCCATAGATGGCAGGATGAACGGGAATCTGGTATACAAGAGACCCATCACGTTTAAATGAGATTCATAGGGGAGTGGTTTCAGATCAAAAGATACTTTTAAGACAGTCTGTAACTTGCGGAACTCATTTTGTGCATAGCAAAAATGCAGATAAGCTTCAAAATGCTGAGACTGGAGAGTTTTACTTCCTCCATGAATATGCTCACTAAACACAAAGGTAGAATTTTTTGGTTTAGCCAGTTCAGAATGGACGGATTTCTAGAGTTTGAGAGCATATGTCAGGAATTCTGAGTGTGTCCTCCTGGCTGTTAGGCTCTTCCATGCGTTTGCTAATAGCCAGTGTTGGAGAGAAGGCTGAGTTAGATGGACCTCTTGGTCTGCTCTGGCACAAGCAGACGCTCTGCCTGCTACCAGTCATCTTAGTGGCTAAACAAAAAACAAAAATCAAGAGGATCATTGTTTCAAGGAATATGAAAAAAGACTAGTATAAAAGTTTCACAGGTTTAACTTTTCATCGTTAAGCTTGACAGCTTAGTTTGAGTTTAATGCGCAGGTGCACAAAGGCAAAGACACCCCAATGTGTTTCAGTCGTGAGGTTGACTTCCCACCTGTCAGAGTTGGGTGCAGTGCAAGAATTTGGGTATTGTACGTGCAACACGGCTGAGTTACATGATCACCCTGTGTTTAAATGTTGCAGTGCTCTAAAATTGAGCTTCAGCCATTTTTTATAATGCTTGTGTCTCCTTGAATGACTTGCCTGTGAGACTTGCTTCCACCTAGTCATCACCAGCGAGGGAGGTGGGAAATAATCCTGACAATTTTCGTTGGTGGCAGATACAGATGTACTTTGGAGGGACATAAGCAAGCTGCTTTGCTTCTGGTGAGAAGCTGTGATAACTGAAAGTGTTTCTTCAGCACCATCGTTTGTATGCATTTAACTTCAGAGGAAGCAAAGGCTTCCATTTAGGGGTGCTTCAACTCTCGTCCCAAACTGCAATAATAAATCCTGCTTATGTCAGTCGGTAACTGCCAGCCTCTGGAATGGGTGGAGAAGAGCAGGAGATGCCACAACCTGAGATTGTTACCCACCAGATAAAGATAATGCAGATCTGCATTCCCCCTTTAATAGAAATAATTAACAGTGTGGTGGCAGCAACGAGTCACGTTCTGAGGTGAGCTGAGGCTGAAGGATTCTTCCGTGCTGCTTTTCCAGCTCCGGCGCATGCAGGAGATGATTGCGAGAATGCAGGCGCAGATGCAGATGCAGATGCAAAGTGGAGAAGGAGATGGCAGTGCAGTTCATGGACACCACGTGTAAAGTCTGTGGTAAGATGCTCCAATAGCCACTTCAAGAGTTTTTCTTTCAGCTACTTGTTGTTGTGGTTGGCATTGAGAACTTTTGGAAAAATCATTACGAGTTTCAATCTTAGTTTTCGTTTTTCAGGGTTTAACTGCTGTTAAGTGAAATGGTTTGGAGCCAAACTAAGCATCAGTGTGGTTGCGTGTGCATATAGGCAATGATGTATATATTCAAATTTTCCAGGAAGTCAATGCAATATATGCTGGCAAGGATCAGGGAAGGAGTCTTTGAAATCGCGTCAACAGGCGATTCTCAGACTCACGATGACGTCATTGTTTCGCTGTGGCTTCTAACATGTTAGCAGGTTTTTTGAGGTTTCTAAATGTAAGAAGATAGCTGATCTTAAGTTGTATTTTTCTGCCTTGCTTTTAGATGACTTTATACCCTGCCCTGAGGGAGACGTTCTGGAGCTGAATTGCGGTGCAGTTACACCGGAAAGGACGCCTTTTGCTCAGCATGTGACCTGGAGTTTGCTTTAGAGTTTAACTGGGAATGCGTTGTGGTAACACTTGTGATATGTATTTCATAACATGTAGTCAGTTGGTATTTTATATGTTATACACGTTTGACTTGGGGTTTGGTTAGGAATTCTTATATTGAGCTTATTTTCCATTTCCCGTTGTATTAGGGATACGGAATAGACGTCGGAACTTTTCTAGCCTGATAGGGCATTAGATAATGCTTACTTTTTTAAAATGGCTTGTTAGCTCCCTGCTTTTAACCTTGTGCTACATTTAGAAATAAGCAGCTGTCAGTGATGCCTTGTTCAGTGGCACGTAAGTCACCTCACTAGGGATCCCTGCAAGGTTGTTTTTATATTTTGCGCAGTGTTTACAGGTGTGTGTCTGTGAGACCATCAGCCCTTTTGCTGTCTCTGCACAGTGCAGGTGGTTTCCTTGGCCTCTGCAAGTATCCAAGTAAAATTCAAGCATGCCTTGTGTCTTAACAAAAGAAATAAGAGGAAATGCCTCTTCGAGGCACACTGTATTTTATATGAAAGACATTTTTTCCTTCAGATTTAACCTTGAGGGACGTATGTTCTCTATCGTTTGCCTAAAATCTCTTACTCTACTGCAAATAATTTTTAAGAGTTTGTTGTAGATGAGCACAAATCAATCCTGCTATTTTCTGGCATTACTGTAGCCAAATAAACTTGAATAATGGTGATACTGTTAAATGAGGTAAACCCCAAAGAGTAGTTTTCTATGCACGGGTGTTCCCCATATCCAAATGCACAAGAAATTCTGTAATTCCTAATGAGTATTTTCGTATGATTTTTAGGGCATTGCGGACTGTTAACTGTAGTACAAAATATATACCAGCACTTCTCTTTTTTTGAAGTGATCTGTGCTTGGCAGGATCAATGCAAACTGTATTTCAAGGTCTCGCTCCGAGATGGAGTTAGCAGTATTACTTCAGAAGTGACTCTGATAAGTTACACTTGGTTTTTTTATTAGGCCAAAGTCACTTTCCTTAACTCTGATAGTAAAGGAGACTGGTTTTGGGCTTGGCTGGACTTCTACTACGTGTCTGTGTTGTATTTGCAGTACGTAAAACCAGCTGTAGTGTACAGCTACATGGGAGGGAGCTGGGAGGGCGAGCAGTAATACACCGTGGTCGTTTTTTCTACTACTTCTGATAAAACCAGCAATCAGATTTCCTCATCTGATCTCTTACAAAATGTTATCTGAACAGCTGATACACAAATAGAATTGCAACAGTTTTCCTCTTCTTTGAGCTCAGGTGCAGCTGTGACTGGTATCATTTATTTTCTTTTTAATGTTTCTTTGAAAAAGTTAATAGAATTTCTACAGCTAATGTATAATTCCAGTGGTACTGAAGAGGCTAGATTAAATATAAACCTGCTAAGCATCTGAAATTTTTACCTGCCTGAAGCTACTGTTGATGAATTGTTTTATATTTGAATCTTTCTAAAAATGTGAAGTAAAATCCTGCATTGTAGCCTTCGCCAGGGAGCTCCAGTTTTCTTCTCCAAAGCAACTACTGTCAAAGTTTTGCACGGCTCATTGGACCTGCCCTAACCTTGGCAAAAGCGAAAATGAGAACCTTTTCATATGTTGAGATGCACGGAAGTGTCAAGTCCCATTCTGTCAAATATTTATGTGTAAAACTTAGCTGAGAAAACACGCGCCTCTAAGTTCTTGTCTTGCTTTTTCAAAAGAGCGCGTAGAAACGAAGTAACGTGGCAGGATTGCCAGAACACACTCCACACCACCTTATTCATTTCTGAGTCTTTTGACATATTTTTGTGAATCTGTTGTCATAAATTTGCCAAAAGAACTTAAAACTCTTAAGTCCTTGAATACTTTGTGAAGTCCCATGCTGTTCGTCAGTTGCCACAAACCTGTTTTTTTTTTCTTGATAACGTGGCACTTGTCCACTCTGTCTGGTATCTCTCTGCTGAACGTTTTGAACACAGCATGCTCCAGACCCTGTCTGCTTTTCCAAGGAGAGCAGCTCCGGGATGTTTGTGTTTTCCGCTTGGTAGGGTCTGGTAAGCTGCAATAATACTATGAACCTGTACTTGAAGAAAAACTGTGAAATCTGAAACGTCCACAAAGGAGGACTGGCTGTACGTGTGACCCTCTCTGTGTGTGGTGGTTTGATGGTTTTTGCCCGTATTTTCTCCCACGGGAACAAAAGCAGGTTGTCCATGCATTTAGTGCTGTTTGGTCACTACCTGTGGAATTATTTTAAGCAGTGTCTTATTCTTTGAAATATCATGTGTCTATTAAAATATTTGATCAGGATTTGTGTGATTGTTAGGCAAATAATTTTTGATCTACAAATTCTAGCAGGAGAAATATTTTCATAATTTTTGGGGGTTTGTTTTTTAACAGGAAAAACAAAGTTTATGGCACGTGCCATTTTAACTAAATGCTTAGGACAGCTAGTTGCTGCTTCTTCCCAAGAAGAAGGTCTTCTTGACCTTCTTGAAGGTCTATTTCCCCTTCACTTTTCTTGTAATGGTCTTGCAATTAATGCTTTCATGGTAAGACATGAAAAGTGAGACTATTTTTCTCAGATCCTGTTTCAGACAAACTCAACTACTGGTAGGAGAAAGACTTGGAGACAAAAGGTAGATGGTGTTTGGTGGCTTGCTGAACTGGCCACAAGTATTTTTCTGTTACAGCATTGAAACGGTTTTTAGTTTAGGAGTCAACATACTTTTGAATTTGCAGAGCTTTTTAGTTGGTAGCAAAAACGACTTTCCCTTGGTACAAAAATCTGTTATATTCTGTTTTTATGTACTGCTGTTAGCCAAGACTATAATAAAAAATGCTAAAATACACTTTTTACTTTAATGACTCTTTATTATAATCAACTCTGGCAATATTAATTTGTTTGGGGTGATATGTTTTAAATATAAAGGAGAAATGCAGATGTAGTTGAAAGAGAACACACTGATGAACCTGCATAAAATGTGGTCGTTAAGTTTTGTGTGCTCCGAGTGTGTTGGTTCAGTGCATTTCCCTATGGGTGTTCCCAGAGCTGCCGAAGTCCTGCCTATGGGATCTTGCTTTTCCAGCAGCTCTCACCAAACTCGTCCATCCCTGAATTGTTATGTTAGCACAGAATGAAGCTGCTTGGCATTAGGTGGAGCTTTAAGTGTTAAGGGTCATTGTTTTCTCCAGTGAGTCCTTGCTTCCTCTCTGGAGAGAGTGAAAGGGTGTTAGACCTTTGTTCTAGATAGTCCGAAATCATTTAGGGCTCATCTTCCTGCCAAATGACTTCAACAACCCGTGGCTGTTACAGATTAAGAGCACTGGGCTGTGTCCTTGGTTTTAGCTTCTTGAGCGAAGGGTTAATACATTGAGAGCAGCCCTGAGGAGAAGGACTTGGGGGTGGTGGTTGATGAGAAGCCCAACATGAGCCGGCACCGTGCGCTGGCAGCCCAGAAAGCCAACTGTGTCCTGGGCTGCATCCAGAGCAGCGTGGGCAGCAGGGCGAGGGAGGGGATTCTGCCCCTCTGCTCTGCTCTCCTGAGACCCCCCTGCAGTTCTGTGTTCAGCTCTGGGGCCCCCAACACAGGACATGGAGCTGCTGGAGCGGGTCCAGAGGAGGCCACAAAGATGATCCGAGGGCTGGAGCACCTCTGCTCTGGAGACAGGCTGAGAGAGTTGGGGCTGTTCAGCCTGGAGAAGAGAAGGCTCTGGGGTGATCTTATATCAGCACCTTCTAGTACCTAAAGGGGCTCCAGGAAAGCTGGAGAGGGGCTTTGGACAAGGGCCTGTAGTGACAGGACACAGGGCAATGGCTTTAAACTGACAGAGGGGAGATTTCCATTGGATCTAAGGAAGAAATTTTTCCCTCTGAGGGTGGTGAGGCACTGGCACAGGTTGCCCAGAGAAGCTGTGGCTGCCCCATCCCTGGAAGTGTTCAAGGCCAGGTTGGATGAGGCTTTGGGCAACCTGGTGTAGTGGAGGGTGTCCCTGCCCAGGGAAGGGGGGTTGGAACTGGATGATTGGTCCCTTCCAACCCAAACCGTTCCATGATTCTGTGATTCTGTGGTTTTATAGCAGTTCTTTAGGTGTGGAACGTGTGCCCTGCTCTGGGCAGCTCACTTTGGGTGGCTGTGCTGGGCTGCTCTGCATTGCTGGGAGGCACACGTGACGTCAGGCCACTCCACAGGGATAAAACCTGTGCGTGCTGTGACGCTTCCGATGTGGTTGTGAAGTGTGTCTGTGTTTAATTGATCTGAAGAATTTAGTGTGGAACTGGGGTGTTAAAGGAGCTTTAAGCCGTAGCTTTAGGCTACAGTGAGAGAAGAGGCAAGGAAGCACCCTGCGTGTGCCAGACCTGCTTTTTGAAAGGTGACTTCTTCTGTGTTCCGATTGCGGGTTTTTGCAGTGTGGCATCCTTTCTGCCAGGTGTAGAAGACTACTTTTATGAAATTCACATCCAATTCTGGAAAGGAGTGCTGGAACAGAATTGCTCTGGGAAT